GTTCCCAAGGGAAGATGCCCTTCAGAGATAAAAATCAGACTGTACAAATCAACAGAAACGTGCAAGAGGGAATGCTGCTGCACAGGATTACAGCATGCAGCAAGTCCTTTTTCAGCACTGATAGCTCTGTGTCTCTTGCTGAAGATGTTTTATGTTGAAGGAGACAAAGAAAACCATGAAACCCTGTTGTAGAAGGTAAATTACCTTATTTTCATCTTACTTACTATGAAAAAAGAAAAAGCTATTTTCTCTCTGATTCAGAGCATATTAATAGACATGGGGAAGGGTTCTCATATCCATCTCTAAAATGGTATATCCTCTGCCCAGTTCCAAGAACTTTTTACCACAAGGTATTAGCCATAGCTCAAAATGAGTAACTAAAGACATTGTATCAGACAAGACAAAAAGATTGGTTTCAATAAACCTAAAAAAAAAAAAAAAAAAAAAAAAAGAAAGAAAGAAAGAAAGAAAACCCCAAGAACTAACTTTCTCTCCATGGTAATATGGAGCAAGCTTCCTCAGAAAGAAGGGGTATGCAAATTGTTTCAGAAGACTTTCACCTATCTCAGCATTCTTCATTATCACAATATCTGGGCAGTCACTGTACTAATTTTCAAATCTTTTAAAAGAGTCTTTGCACCCATGGCTTTTATATTTTACAGTGGGGAAACTAAACCAAGATGTCCAAGGTCACAAAAGGCATCAAGGGCAGAGCCCTGTGTGAGAGCTGAACTTGCTTCTCCTGAGTCCCCAGGAAACATCTCCATTTTCCAAACACTCCTATCTGACATCAGTGCAGTTTAGTGGAGATCAGACATGCTGCAAATCTACCGCAGCATCCTCACCAGGGACAAAGAGTAAACTGGAGATGACTGCAGTGATTCTGACTACATATCTAGAATAGAGGAAAGCATATTCATAGAATCATAGAATAGTTAGGGTTGGAAAGGACCTTAAGATCATCTAGTTCCAACCCCCCTGCCATGAGCAGGGACACCACACTCTAAACTATGTCACCCAAGGCTCTGTCCAGCCTGGCCTTGAACACCTCCAGGGTTGGAGCATTTACAACTTCCTTGGGCAACCTATTCCAGTGCCTCATCTCTCTCACTGTGAAGAACTTCTTCCTTATATCTAACCTAAACTTCCCCTGTTTAAGTTTAAAGCCATTACCCCTTGTCCTACCTCCAGCTCCCCACTGATAGTTTGTTTACAATGCTCCCAAAACTCAGTTACTAGGTAAGAAGTGGATGGTAGGTGAACAAATATGTTTAGAAGTATTAAAGTATGGGTCGAAAGTCCCTTACAGAGAAGTGCAGCATCAGGGAGAGGTCTGTATTATCAGGAAATGATTCTCACTGTCACACAGCTTTAAACTTAAGGCTGATTACATTGTACTTCTATACTACAGGAATAGGGCAGGCTGGGAAGAAAGCAGCTAATTAAAATAAGAAAGTCTGTGAGATAAGGGAAAAATGCCCTCACATCACCTCCAGAAAAAGGGGTTTCTCTATATTTCTAGCAGCATTGACCAAAGAGGAGTCCTCCTCTGCATGCTTGTAGCAAAGGAGGACCTCATTCCACGCTTCTAAACTTTGCACTTCTCCGCTTTCCAGTCTCTGGAGCAAATCAGCTCATTTGAGACCCATCTGCTCACCAAACAGCAAGAAATAATTTACTGAAACAAAGGAAATTATTCTACTAATTGTCCTGATACTGTTGGCTGTTAGTGCCTTTGGAGTGCTCTTCAACATTAGGAACAGTTAAATTTCTAACAGGAAAGCATAAAACACCATCTGAATCTACAAAGCGCACTTCATGTTCCAAAACATTTGTCTCTAGTTCTACCTTCGCTTGGGCCAACTGCTGTTTTCAGCTGCACTTGTAGCATAGCTCTTGAACGTGGCAAGCTGGCAGAGATGAAGATGCACAGGTTAGGACTGAGCCTTTATTTCAGTAAATGCCACCAGAACGTCATAGAAACAGAGAATGAGTGGAGGCCTGGCAAGCTATCAGCTCTGTGTATGACTGGAGAACACCCTATCTCATGGTTGCACTGGAATGAGTGAGGGTTGAAAGAAGTTACTACACTTCACCTAATCAACAAAACAGCAATAAGTCTGGAACCAAACAAAATCTCAAACCTAAAAAACCAAAACAACAACAAAAAAAAAAAACCACCTCAGACCTAAACCCAATCTTTACACACAGTACCAAAGCCAGAACAAGAAATTAGCTACTTTGCCTGATTTCTGAGGCAGTTTGGATCTAGGACCAAAGCCATCTCTCAGACACTTCTCTAAATAAAAAATACTTATCAAATGAAATGAGAGGAGTTCATACAGGACTTGCAAAATCCCATTTAATACCTCGTAAACCTCATGTCCTGAGATCCAAAAGGCACTTAGTTATTTCTATACCTGGTATCAGGAAGACTAATCCTGGAGTATGATATTCTGCTCTGTTGTCCTCACCTCAAGAAGGATGTCTGAAGTGGGAAACAGTTCACCAAGACGATACAAACAGAATTTGAAATCTGGAAGCTTTACAGGAAGATTGACAGCCTTAATAACCTCTCTTCCTATCCAGTTTAGCCAAGAAAAGGTTAAGAAGTTATTTTATCTAAAAGCACCTATATCAGGAGTAGTCTTTTGACAATATTTAGCAGGAAAGGAGATAATGAGATCTAATAGTTGGAAACTGAAGCTTGACTAATTCAAACTATAAATAGGGCACTTAGGGGAAAAAAAAAAAGGCAAATAAGGAGGATAATTAAGCATTGAAAGAACATCTAGAGACCTTATATCCTCCCCATCTCTGAAGTCTTTACAAGAAGAGCAGAAGTCTTTCTGCATAACATGCTGTAGCTCAATTACTGGACCCAAACACAGGAGTTACTGAGTGAAGTTCTGTAACTCAAATTGTACCAGAGATTGTTTCAGGAATTCATAATGGTTCCTTCTGGTCTAACTATGAATCTACATACTTTAAGCAGTGGTTCTAACAGTGTTTGGGTGAATTGGAAGATGATAGTGTTTGGGTCAATATTGACTGCATACTGACCTACACTACACTGTGCTGACAGGAACTACAATTAGAAAGTTGTATAAATGTGCTCCATGTTGTTTATGACCTGAGACACTAACTTTATGGAAGACTGTTCCATTGGTATTTAACAATTAATTGTCTGTACTTGTACACTACAACAAGTCAGACTGGTGTGAAAATACTAATGGGAAAGAAGCCTCCTTGCAAGTTAAAAAATGTGCCAACCGGAACAAAAATGAAGGTGAAAGGTTGGATCACACCTAAAAATACTGGATGGAAAGTCTTCAGTGAGAGGAAGTCTTATAAGCTTCACAGTACCTAGGAAGCTGGGTAGCTGATGGGAAGGAAGCAGGTAGTAAAAACAATGCCCCACCCCTTTCAGTATCAAGGCTCTGCCTTCCTGCCAGACCCAACAGGGAAGGCAGGAAGTGATAGGAAAGCCAGCCCTGATCCTTGCTGTGGAGAGGACAGACAGTTGCTCCCACAGCCAAAGTAAAGAGTACCAACTAATGTAGTGAGGAAAACAAAAGAAAAAGAACCTGAGATGTTGCGGATTAAAAGCACCAGTAGGGAAAAGAACTGCTAGAGAACTGTTTCTTTGTTGGGTTTTTTGTGTCTAAGTTCTGGGCAAAGCACAGAAACGCCCTCTACGTGTGGCAGCAAGTCCTCCCCAGGCTGGGGAAACAGGCCAGCAGACACACACACAAAGAGGGTCTGGGAGCTCATGGATGCCCAGGCAGCAAGACACAGTCTGATCAGATGCTCAGACATGGCCAGAAATGCTGCAGTGCCAGCTTCCATTCCCATTGGAAAGCACAGAAAAGGCACAACCCAGGCTCTGCTGCAGCACACACAGAAGCATGAGTCTTAGCAGAGTAAGAGGCAGCAGTAGGCAAACCCAGGATGGTGCAGAATGCAGCATGGGCAACGAGATACCCTGGGGCAGAGCAACCAACTTGGTGGCCGGCAAGGGAGTGAGCAAGGGATCACAGAAGTGTGGGGGGCACAGTTTGCATCCAGAAAAGGAGTGTTCCTGGAAGACAGCTGAGGACAGGAATAAGAATGTCTTGTGATAAACACAGACTTTCCCCCAACCCCCTGAAATCCCAAACCTCTTTGTCAGATGGCAACACACAAAGTCATACTTGCTCCCAGCCCTGTCGCTCATTGTTGCTCAAGTACCCCAGGAGTGTTAATACCTGAGAAAAGTTTGCTTAAAACCTCTCAATTTACATCAGAACTGCTTCCCCTCCAAAAAGGAAAACTCTACTTTTCCATGTCCCTGTCCTATTTCACTAATTTATCCTCTCATTGGCCAACAGCACTTGGTGTTTCCTATTCCTCAAAGATTAAATTATCTCAGCAAGGAAGTGCCTGGCTCTCACCAGTTTTTGTTCCAATGTCAGTGATATGCCCTTCCTCCTTTGCAGCATCCTTTTGTGCACAGCTAAGATCATTCTTCCTCCTTGCCCGCTGCCTCTGTCAGTACACACATTCTGTAGTAGACAGCCTGGGCATCATGCGTATTTAATATTGAGACTCATAGCAACTTGAAAAATACCCACAGCACGAATGCACTGCACTTGCCACAGGTTTATGAAACTCTGACCTTGTGTTGCAGCACATCGCTTATACCATGGAAGGAAACATAGTACTTCCCATCAAAATAAAACCTCCACTTTTGTGCCTGTCATGAGAAATAAGCCAAATGCTTGACAGGGAGTGCAGAGGATGGGGGTGAGGTGGGAATATAATATAATGTATTTAAGAGTAATTTCCTTTGGTATAAAAGAGTATTTAAAAAAATCAAACTGGCTAGAGATATAAAACAAAGGAAAGCATGTCTGAAGCAGAGGGCTTCCCCATCTTCCATAAAAACAGAGACATCTCCTCACCCCACCCTGCACCCTCCTCAATCCAAGAAGGTAAGAAGCCTCCGTGCTGACACTCACGCAGGTGTGCTGGCAGTCTGATTGTGTCTTCCTCCATCCTGATCGCTTGAGGCACTGGGACATGTAGTGGTGTTGAGGAAGTGTAATTTGGTACCGGGCTCACTGGAGGTGTGTACGAAATTCTCTCCTGCTGTTAAAAAGAAAGCGGGGCGGGGGGGGAGAGAAAGAGAGGACAACGTGAACTTTGGAACAGAGGTGTGAAACCAAGGCAGGGGAGGGGGAAGTGGGTGGAAGGAAGGAAGTGTGCGCGCACAGAGGGGGCGAGCAGCACCAGCGATGCAGCCGGCTGCCCAGGGAGCACACAAGTGCTGTGCAGGGGAGCACTGCTGCGGCTTTCAGGGTGATAGGGCTACTTTTCAAAAGGTCCGCCAAGTTTCCAAGGGTCTTCTCAGAAATCTGCTGAGGGAGGAAAGGGAAGTGACACACAAGTGGGGGGACTCTGAGGGTTTTATGTCTGACAGCAACTCCACCATACGTGCATGAGTACTGTTACAGAAAGTACCAAAAGCACTTTATCTTATGCTAACAAGTCAGTTATGATCTAAGCACTTATATTAAGTATTTAACACTTTCTCTTTCATAGCATTTTAAAGACATTAAGCAATTAGTTTTCTCTTTGCTGCAGAAAACCACTCTATCACTAAAATCTACTCTATTTACCATTGACTAATGTAGTACTTCTTTTTTCTTGCCTCAGTTAGCTACTAGTGCTTTCTTTGAAGTAGTTTAACTTGCAATCAACCAAGTAAGTCAGCATACAGAAAACAGCTACACAAGGACAGTCAAACAGGCTTAAAGGGCAATTTGTAAATGTTACATTAGTTTCATAATAGTCACTGTTAGGGTTTTATTTCTGAAAATGCCTGCCAAGAAATTTAAGACTGAAATTTCATCTGATCTGATGGGAAAATTCTTCCATATTCTAAGCCTGTACTCCAATCACAGCACGAATTATACCCTTTGTAAATAAACATAGCCACAATTTTACAGGAGCATAAAAAAAATCATTATCGTGTGCTTCCTGGAAGGCAATGCACGTTATTCCCCAAAACCCTGCTGCTGACATTTAATGATGGCAGTGCGAACAGTGTGGATTTACATCCACAGACACACAGAAGTAGAAGGAGCTACCTTCCTTTCTGAGCATTTGCAGGAGAGTACATGTGCAGCTCCTTACCCCATCTTTGGCAAATGGAAAGACAAATTTGGTGCTGGAGCAAGAGAAGGTAATTACTTCCATTATGAACCACAACATTATCACACCAGTGTGACAGGGAACCAGACTGAAGAACCTGCAGAACATAACATTAGCACCCTCCCCACCAAAGGGAAGAAGAGGTTTGTACAACCGTGAGTAAATAACAACTACATGTACCAAAGCAGAAAACTCTTTAGGCAAACAAGGTGACATGTCCAGAAAGAAATGGCGCACGGAATACTGAGGATGTTCTGCATCTCTCAGCCACCACTTCAAAGCAAGCCCAGTTCATTCTGGTGCAAGCTGCTGCTATCAGCTTGCTGCTCAGGAGCTCACGCAGAACCAGAAGTTTTGCCTCAACATCTGGAGTCCTACCACTATACTATAGCCACCACGACCAACAGCCATGGCAGAGAAGCCTGATGGCTGATGGAATATGAACTATTCGAACCATACTGGGTTTAGATGGCGTGGGAAGACAGGCCCACTAGGCCACTCCATCACTAGGCTACTTCCATGAGTATAGTCTCCATAGCTTTCAGATCAGTGCATTTTAACCAGAAATCATTCAATCTTATGTTCCAGTCTCCCACAAAGCCCTTCAGCATCTTACTGCATCCACTCAGGTTCTTTCTACTCATCATTGTCCAGGCAACAGCAATCCATTAGCTCCTGTCAATTTAGTTTTTCTTAGTTAACAAACAGGGATGTTCACTGAGATGTGGCGAAAGACATACCTGTGGAGCCACAAAATATTACTCTGCTTTCAACTTATGCAACTCCTTCCCTGACCCGAAATGGCTGACTCTAGGCCTCACGTTCCCACAAGGTGCGGCTCTCCGCACCAATTCTGCAATCTTGCTGACCATTTGCATCTTCTCACCCCTAGTGCATATTACCAGCAATTCCCAACAAGACCAGCTACTTCCTAGCATTTCCTGCTGCAATGCACAGCTCAGATAATCAAACCACGCTGCAGCTGCTTGTTTTGTGTATTGGATGAGATATTTATCAAAAAGAGGAACACTTCTGAAATGTAGCCACACAGATGCCTGCCTCTGCTAACAGGCACTGGGGACAGATGAGAGGCACTAAGTCCTTTTTCTCCCTCTCGAACAATGCAGGATACAGTCCAACTTCAGGTCACGCTTCATGCTCACAGAAATACTGATTTACCACTGCAAAGACAAGGGGTAAGAGGCTTCAAAGGGCCTTCTCACTGCCCAACAGGACGAGGAAAGTGCAGGCAGGAGATGCAATTAAATCAGAACCCTGTGCACTTCCCTCAGCACAGAGGAGGTGCTGTATCAAACTAAGACATTACGCTTCCAATACCTCCTGCCTTTCTCTCCACACTGATCCACCTCCTAAAGCCATATGGTAACCTTATTTATACCAGATGGATTCATTGAGATTTTACTGTTATAAATATATACATCAGAGTCACTGTTTCCTAGTACTCATGAGAACAGGACAGTAAAAATCAAAAAGAAGTTGTAGAAATGCAGTTAGTTTTTCACACACCTTGGGTGTCCGCAGTAATGTGTGAATTGGTAGTATTTGCAGAACACATTTTACAAGGCACAAAGGGGAGTTAGCTGTTAGTGCCTTTGAAATGCCCTCTCTTTCTAATCCTGCTTTTTTTTTTTCCCCAGCACCTTTAACCCAAATATCAAAGCAATTTACAGACATTAGGTAAGTCTTTCTTTTTATAAGACAGACAGACAACCTGAGTTACAGAAAAAGCAAAGCTCAAGTGAGGTAAGTAATTTCAGAGTTAAGCTGTCTCAAAAAAGGACAGCATGTGCCTCTCAAGGGCAATACATGTAGCAAGTGCATCCTGAAAGAGTAGCGCTTGTAACTGTCCTGGCCAGATCTCCAAAAGGTGTGGAATGGTAATGGCACATGGAGGTCAAGGCACTGGGCTTGTGGAAAAGTGAGCTTCATCCCTGTTTGCAGCACGAGTCAGTAACACGGCTGGAAGCAGAACTGCAAACATCAGTCCAGTTCTGCAACCTATTGCAGCTCTGTGCTTCATCCACACATAACTGCTAGCCTACACATTCGCGTAAACGCACAAGGTCACATTTGCTCCTCCAGGCTTTCTGAGGCTTTTTAGAGTCACACCTCCAGGAGGTACCTACTGTGCTCACACCACTGAGAACAGATTCGCTTTAACCTTCACAACTCCAGAACTGCCTAGTGCTTCTCTGTGTGGGGTCCATCAAACAAGAACATGTCTGGTTATCTCATGCTTCTAAGGTTATGCAACCAGATACTCCACTATTAGGAATCTTTCTGAAAGAGTTCCCTGACCAATCTGTTTAATATTCCCCTTTGCATTAAGGCCAAGAATAAACTGTTCAATGGTAGGGTTGTTCAAGCAATGGCTTGGGAGGAAAGGCAGGTAGTGCTGGTAGCAGAACCAGCACAAACCTTGTGTGTACTTGAGCAAAAAGCCTTGCTGCAGCTTAGTCTACTGTTAAGAGACTAAACCAATACATATTTCGTGTGCTTTTTTGAGTTTATTGCTGACGAGTGCTAGGAAAGAGCTTGGCATCACCACATTCCAGACTTGCTGCCTGCCAGGGGACTCTATAAACATTTAAACCCACAAGTGACAAATGCTCAGCCCCAAACAACTGCCATCTACAAGCAACTTCAAAACAGAAGCTCCCTAGTATTTTGCCAGTAGCCACAATGAGGTGGACAAAACAGTTGGCATATTGCTTGCTGTCATCATTTCTGAAAGGCTTCTTCAGCTCACAGTGAGTCAGGAAAGTTTCACCATGAAATTTCACCTTGACTACTATTACTGAAGACATGCACTAGGTCAGTCTTTATGGAGACCCTCCTTGGGGTGGGGTCTGGTGGCTAGAGCTCCAACAGTGCCACCCAGACAACCTGCCAGGCCTGCTGAGAGTGCAGCATGCTTTTACCTGCCTGACCTAGCAGAGACAGAAACATAGTTAGAAACAAGTCAAGCTATGGTTTTGTTCTCTTTGTACTAGAAAAGTACAAAACATTAATATCCAGGTGCTGAGAAAGCCTTAGATCAAGCCATCCTGCCTAAAAAAAAGGAAGGTAACTCAAAAGCTGTATTGATCATGGCTATTTAGTAGGAGTGTACATTAACAAGACTAGACTCCCAAAGCCATCAAACCCTGATTTCAGTTTGAAGAACCAGGTAGATCCTTTACACACAAAAATCCACCTGAACAGTTAGAAAATTCTGTAAGGAACACAAAGAATTCATATAGCAATAGCAATAGCAACTATAACAGTAATCATAGAATCATAATAAATCAAAATTGCAAACTAAATTTGTAGTCACGTTTTTTAAGAAGTCTAACAGTTGAAGATGAGGCTGCAAGTAAAACAGCTTCACGCCTTTACTAAAATTACACCCTTCTAAATTCCAAAGCAGCTGCCTTCATTGTGCATGTCCTCCAGCTTGCAGTCCTTTTGTCCCTTTACCAGCTTCACTCAGATGGCAGGCACAAACGCCATCCATGTTTTTGCAGAACTGGAAATAAAACTGGTAAGAAAGCATGCTGAGCAAGCCCTCATGTTGTTCCAGTGACACAACTACTTCAGTGGTTGGACAGGTGGTATACTAAAAGGACTTTTTTTCTTTGATAAAACAAACGCATGCTTTACCTGTACAGCAATTTTCAGGAAACTAAAACAACCAATGTGGTTTGCAAATACCTTGCACTGGACAGAAAAGGCAGCTGACTCTCACCACTGCATAAAAACTTACTCCTATACTGCATGTAATAATACTACACAGAGCAAAATTAAGTGAGAGTGAAAGCTGACACACATTTGCCCCTCAGGCTGCTGGCGTACGTGTGCCACTCCATGCCTGTCTTGTTGCATTTGCTGTTCATCTTCGCTTCTCCAAACAGCCCAGGCTCCCCCTCCTCCAA